AACAAACGCAATATGCAAATTCAGCCACCACTCCCCAAGCTTCACTCCAAGTCCCACTACGACCCAGCGATGTTGTTTGCGAATTGCGAGTGGGGCGCCGCCGATTTTGATTCGTTTTCCGGCATCTTTCCCTTCCAAATCTAGTTGTTTTGGGCCCGTCGCGGGACACGGAGGATGGGATTTGTTCGCCGGCGGATTTACGGAGATTTTGCCTACGCCTGGCTTTGCTCGAAATGACGGTTTATGAGTGCTTAAACTGGGTGGTTTGTCATGAGTCAATCAGGTGGATTTTGGTTGTTAGAAGAAAATATCGTAGCATCTCACTTTCCCACTCTCTCTCTCTTTCTCTCTCTCTCTCTCTCTCTCTCTCTCTCTCACCTCCCCTCCCTCTCCCCCCCCGTCTCTCTCACTCTCTCTCTCCCTCTACCTCTCCCTCTCACCCCCTCCCTCCCTCACTCTCTCTCGCTCTCTCGCTCTCTCTCGCTCTCTCTCACTCTCTCTCCCTCTACCTCTCCCTCTCTCCCCCTCCCTCCCTCAACTCTCTCTCGTTCTCTCGCTCTCTCTCTCTCTCTCACTCTCCCTCTTCTGAAAGTTTAAAGGCCAATAGGCCGCTCCCAAAAATAAGCCACGTCGTTGCTTTCTCTGTCTCTCTACATCCTCCTTCTCCTTCTCCCCGTCCTCCTGAAGGACCAACGGAAGTCACGGTCACTGCCCCCGGAATCTCCATTTCGGGAAACTGCCCGCGTGTTCACACTTCCAACCCCCCTCGCCTGTTTTCGCGCTGACGAATTTTTTATTTTCTTCCTGAGACTCTAGAGGACGAGCTCGGGATCGATCTTGAATGAGTTTTTAGCGAGAAATGGAAGAAATGGTCCTTAATTTGCCATAAATTTTTATACCTTTTGCGTAATTTGCTTTTACTCTCTCTCTCTCTCTCTCTCTCTCTCTCTCTCCCTCTCTCGCCAAAACTGTTTTCTCCGACCCTTTTCACGAAACTGCTGTTATTCCCTCCAAGTGTCGCGTCTTGGGTGTGTGCGATTTTGTTGGTAGTTGAGAATGACGGGTCTACCGGAAGCCCACCCTCTCGCGCTCTTTTCTGTCCTCCGGGGGTTGGGCCCTTGTTGCTGGGCCCATACTCCTCGTTATCACCCCCAACTTCGAGGGGCCCACGCGCACTCGTACTCCACCCCCACACACTTACACAGGCAGCCCCAAAAATTCTGGATGTTCAGTAAAATCTTTAATACCAAGATTGGATCTGTTTCTACATGGTTTTTTTGCTATTCGCAAACACAAAAATATTGTCGGTTTTCCATCAGAAATGGCCAAATTAAATCAATATAATTCTATAATATTGCCCTGTCTGTCTCTCTAAAAATCCTACTATATATAAAAAAATAGTGTTTGTGTGTGTGTGTGTGTGTATATTTGCATGCACTTCCGTTTGGATGTTCCGCTCCTACAGCCTCGGGGAAGGGTTTTTTGGATAGGGAAGAAACGACAATGGGTTTAGAATGGTCCGGAATCGACTGCACACGCATAAAAATTTTGAAAAATTGCGGTTTTCGCTATTAAAAATAGGTTTTTGTAAAACCCTGTTTGTTAGGGGAAATTAGCATACGCCGGAAATAGGATGAGCCTATATAAAGGGACAGAGGAGCCGTTTTTCACTTTTTTTCTTGCTAGAATTCAGGAAGAAACATGCAAATTAAGGACTTTCACAGGTCCTGGACGGGGCCAGGGTTGAAAAGCCGCGAAGCGGTTTTTCAACCCTGGTGAATACATAATTTCTGAAAATGCACTATATACAGTACCTAGGAAATATAGAATAACGAATTGAATTAGGATATGAAGAAACGTGTATTTTGCACTTGTAATGATTCCCCTTGAGACTGCCGGCACTCTCTCTGTCCCTCTCTCTCTCTCTCTCTCTCTCTCTCTCTCTCTCTGGCTTTCGCTCTTTCTCTCACACCCTTTCGTTCTGTCTCTCTCTCGCCGTTTGCTCTCCGACTTTTGCACGTTTCACCGTTCCAAATCCGGACCTCCCTCGGGATTTTGTATAATTTTTAGCAAATCCTGTATTCTGGTGTTAATTCCGGAATTAGCGTCTTGATTCCTTACCTCGAAAATATCTGCAAATCCGGGCGATCTAACAAAGATGTTTTAGGAACGCTTTTTGAGTTTTTGTGTTTCCACATTTTTAGAGCGTTACTTTTGACGCGTCGCCGAAGGTACTTGAATTCTTTGAGCCGCAAACTCCATTAGCCAATCTGTGATTTCCAAGAATTTCCAGTCTCCCGGAGCTAGGTGATCGTCACCATTTTGACGTTTTCTGGTCTATTTAGAGCGAGGGATTCTTTATCTAGCTCTTTTTTTGGATTTGGCCATTTGTTTCCGATTTAGAGGCAGAATTTTAATCTTAAAATTTCTAGGCTTAAAAGCCTAGAAAATCGTAATCATGCCCGTTTCCAATTGCGGTTTGTAAGTTTTCTGTAGGGCAATCCGTTTGTGTGTAAAACTAGGTATCCTACCGGAAATCCTACGGGGATTACCGTCGTCATCGTAGACCAGGCGTTCTTGGGATTCTTCGTACTTGAGGAGGTGTATTTTGCGGCTATCGAGGGTCTATTTTCGTGGTTCCGGAAGATGCGTAGTGTCTGGGATTTAATTTTTTTTTGCATGATTTTTGGGCAGGCTAGCAGAGATTATTTAGAGACGAGAGAGTGAGCGAGAGAGAGAGAGAGTGAGCGAGAGAGATTGAGAGAGTGAGGGAGTGTGAGAGGAGCCAGAGAGAGCCAGAGAGAGCCAGAGAGAGAAGAGAAAGAGCGTGAGATAGTGAGAGAGAGAGAGCGAGAGAGAGCGAGAGAGATTGAGTGAAAGAGTGAGATAGATACAGCGCGTAAACAGACAGTGAGCTAGTGATATGAACCTCAATTTTGCCTGCACACTCCCTTTAAAATCGTACAATTTGCAGTGGATGCAGAAGACGCCAAATCCCTCCCATTCACTTGACTCATCCCCTTTTAGTTGATCCAAGCTGACGCTTGGCCCGTCATCCTCCTCCCCTGCCGTCCGTTTCGAGGAATATTTTGTAGCTTCTTTTCCGCTCCACCCTCACCCGTGCGTCATCTCCCCTTGACCCAGTTCTCAAATAAATAACGCCCACTTTGCTCATTGGCATTTTCAAGACTCCAAACAGGCCATGTTTTCGAAAAATATTTTTGTCCATTAATGCGTAGTCTAAAGGTTAAAAATTTTGAAAAATTTTTTTTTTAATTTTATTTTTTGTTGTTTTTTGGATATTTAAAAAATCACCAAAAAAAAAAAAATTTTATTTAAGCCCAAAATAACATAAAAAAATATTCATGGCATGATAAAGCATTTCCGAAAAAATCTCCTGAACAATAATTTAATTTCATTAATTTTAATATCAATTTTTCGCAATTTCCGGTCGGGGGATAATAGCTGGGATCTACAGTTACCCATTGGTGCTTTGAAATTCTTTTTGGATCCCTTTGGTTGGCATGATTAGGCTTGCTTCGTAACTGTCAAGGCCCACTCAAACTGGAGGGTCGATTTTGCCGCTTTTCTTGCACATTAAAACGTCAAAACTCGAATTTTCCACGTCACTCCTATCGCCAATTTCCACAAAAGCAATCTAAAAAGTCGATCTGTCACTTTTCTAACCTTTAACCCGTCAAAAATCCAAAGTTTCACGTCATTCCTATCGTCAATTTCCGGTAAATTCGGTTGAATCGAATTTTTCGAATAAATCCACGAATGGACTCCAATTTGAGAGAGGAGTAGGCCTCAGAATTCAATTGAGAATCACCCTAATTGGCGGAAATACATAAAGTTCATCGGGAAATGGGACGGTAATTACGTGGCGATTGTCGCCAGGCCGGGCCAGGGGAACGTTGCGTAGCGAAATTGGGGGCAAAGATTTGAGAATGTCTCTTCTGTACCCGGCCATCAGATGAATACACTACTCGCGAGGAAGCGGATGACGCCTTCGCGCCAATCTTGTTTTGACCGTTTTGATGTCTTAAAATGGGCTCTTTCGGGGGTGGCACTGTACACGTGGTGTCTGGCGTTCTTTAGAAAAATGTTTGCGATTCCTGCCTTTTCAAGAATTGCTGCCCCTTTCTTTCTCTAATGATCTCGGCTAACTTGTCTCTTCCTGAAGTTACCGTATTTTTTTGATTTTTTGTAATGTTTCAAAAATTTTTCGAGATTCCCCAATGGTCTTTGCTAGCTTGCCTCTTCTTAAAACAGCCTGTGAATACAACTGTCTATTTTCTGATTTTTCTAAATTTTTTAAAAATTTTGTACCTCAATGATCTCTGCTAGCTAGCCCTTTGCTTAAAGAAGCTTTAGTTTGGCCAGTTTTCTTGTTTTCCGGCAGTTTTCTCTACTTTCCTGACTTTTCCGGAGTTGCTGCACTTCCTCAATGATTTCTGCTAGCTTGTCCTTTTGTGGAAGCCCTTCAGAGTGTGGGGTATTTACAGCCTTTACCAATTTTTCAAATGGTCCCTGCTAGTTGGAAAAGTTTTATGTGCTTTTGACGGTTCCGAAAAGCCATTAAATCGAACAGACCAGAAATATCTTTTGTTGCAAATCGATGTATTTTCTGTATTAATTTACGATGTAGTAATTTTTGGAGTTTTTCATCTTTTTATGTAAATTATTTCTAAAATACTTGCCTTTCCTGGCCCCTGAATCAAACATTTAGACGTCTCGCTACATACCAGGATTTCATTTGGCCATTTGCAAGCGATATATTTCGCAAAATTGTAGTGGACACGTTATGGGCTCCCTCTCTCCCCCCTCCTCTCTCCTCCTCTCTCTCCTCCATTCCGCCTGGAGTAATTCATTTGCCCCCTTCCACCTACCGTACCCCTCTCTTTGCAGGCGGTCCTCGCTGAGACTTGGCCCCCATCCGCAGGCAGAGCAGAAGAAGACCCCCTATCCGGTCCTCTTCCACCCCCTCCTATCAGATGATGTTCGACGAGCCATCAGCACCCGCCAACAAGTCTATCACGACACCCAATCATCAACAACAGCATCATCATACCTATTCCACATCGTATTCTACGGCATCGTGGTGCAGGTACGGCAGTGGCTTGCGCTATGGCTTACGCATAGGCTTAGGCTTAGGCTTAGGCTTAGGCTTAGGCTTAGGCTTAGGCTTAGGCTTAGGCTTAGGCTTAGGCTTAGGCTTAGGCTTAGGCTTAGGTTTAGGCTTAGGCTTTGCTTAGGCTTTGCTTAGGCTTTGCTTAGGCTTGGGCTTGGACTTAGGCTTAGGACCAATCCCCGACTGGCATACTTTGTCTTGGGTTAGGCTTAGGCTTAGGACTGGGCTTAGGCTTAGATTACACTTAAGCTTAGGTTTAGGCTTAGGCTTAGACATGGACAGGCTTAGGCCCAAGCCAGGTTTAGGCTTTGGCTTCGGCTTAGGCGACGTCCGTCGTAACCGAAACTGACCGGGGCAGGCTAGCAGAGAGACTTTGCGGACTTTTGAGGCCTACTAAAACGATGCCAGTTCCAGAATACCGTCAACGCTGTCGATTCTGCTGTGCTTCCTGTTTCTGCTATCACTAGTGCAGGCGGCATGTGCTCAGACGGAAGATCAGGGATGTGGAGAGCACCCACTCAAAGGCATCCTGCAAAAACTCGAGATTTCCCGTGAGTTATGCTAATTTTTAAGTAGATTTTCCAGTCCAAAAAGCTCGCTTGTACGTTGCAAATTATTATCTACAAATTTTCCACCTCCTCACGTCACCCGGAACACAAATATATTTTGGGGGTGCTCCGGTATCTGGGGAGCTGTCGATTTTGAGGCCCCCGGGCCCGGGAGGTCTCCATCAAAAACTCGAGGCAAAATTAGACCTCGTCCGGGAAAATGGCAGATGATTGGGGCAGGGGGGAATTGATGAAGCTTGTTGGGAGAAGAAGAAGAGGAAGATTGGTTTCGACGAATCAACCCCCAACCCTGATGCTCGAAATGAGAAAAGATGGAGAATTGTAGCATGGTTGGGCGGATTTTGCGCGTCCAGTTATGGGGGCTAAAAGTATATTAGGAAGCTGCAATGGTCAGTCAAACTTTAAATTTGTAGTTTTTATGTAGCTCGAAATTGAATTTGTAGTTAAGTTTGAATCCATAAAAAAGGCGAAAATCGCTAGTCTTGCCAGCGGGAGAACGCCAAATCTCGACAGCAAAAGCCCCGACAGAATAAAATCTCGACCATAATCCATAATGCCGATAGCCAAAATTCCAACACGGAATACCGACAGGAAAATCCCGATATAAAGAACCCCCGACAGCCAAATCCTGACGAGGCAAAACCCTGACGACCAAATCCCGATAGGCGAAATCCCGATCGCCAAAATGCCGACAACCAAAAACCCGACAGCCAAAATCCCGGAGTCCAAATCCCGAAAGCAAAATTCGCGGACTACAATACTTTTCTAGCAGACTGTTGGTGTTGGTGTTTAACCTCTCCCCATGTACGGCCCCAAAAAAATGCCCCCAGCTACCCGATTTGTTTCTGAATTCTTCGGCATCTGTGTTCGCAACACGCGCCACTACAAGATGACGCCGACCCCTCTTTTTCTGTCTGTCTGTCTCTGCCACCAGTTGTGATGGGGTGAATGGGGTCGTTTGTGTGTTTTCGAAACGCGACTCTCCAAGAAGTCTCAGTGGTCGCTAAACACAGCAAAACGTTTTTAGGGTATTTTAGGGAGCTAAACATATGTAGTAGCAGTAGGGAGAGAGAGAGAGCGAGAGAGTGAGAGAGTGAGAGAAAGGGAGAGAGAGCGAGAGAGAGACTTTATCGATCGTTTTGTTACAGGGCCAAACCTAACGTTCGAGCAGACGACCCGACTACTCCAGCAGGTTCGCCACCGCTACCCCCGGCTGTGGCGCTCGTTTGAGGCGGCGCTCTCCCAATACACCAACTGCATGATGATGACCCGATCCGGGTCTCTCGGCTAACAGGTTAGCTTTAGAAAAATGGCTTAGGCCTAGCTTAGGCTTGGAGGCTTGGCTTAGGTTAGGCTATGGCTTAGGCTTCGGTTAGACTTAGGCTAGGCTTAGGCTTGGCTTAGGTTAGGCTTAGGCTTAGGTGAAGTTAGACTTAGGCTTAAACTCGGGCTTGGCTTAGGCTTAGCCGACTTCATCAGCTTCAGACTTGCTTCCCCCTTTAAAATACCGTAATTCAGGTATCCCCTCCGATGTTGGCAGGCCAACTGCGACAAATGCGAAAAACCCCGGCAAAAACCCCCGATTTTCGACACCGTGTGCCGAGCAATGTTTTACACTACTGTATACTCCATATCACACACTGCTTCTCTCTCGCCCTATCTCTCTCTTTCTCTCTCCTTGTCTGTCTCTCTCCATATTCCATGATCTCTAGCCCATTTCTCCCCCAACAATTAATTCCGAAACGATCCCCTCTCTTTCAACGTTTGGTGTCTATGATTTGAGCAGCAGCTGCTACCGTACCCCCCTTGCCTAGCCCCCCGCTAACAGAACATTCCAAAACACACAGCAAACGCGACCCCCAGAAAACAGCAGAATAAATGTTGTACCCTGTTATTGGGGAAATTGTGGAAATTGCATAGAAAGGACAGTGATTTCCTCACTTTGTAAAAATGTCATCCAGTGGAATTTAAAGCCAAGTTTTTCGGTATTTTTAGGTATTTTTCGGTTATCAACATCGGGAGACACGTGCGGCGATCTGCAATGAATGGGCCAATTAATTATCCCACCCCAATCCCGTTCCACAAGAAGCGAGAGAGAGACTGACAGAGAGAGAGAGAGAGAGAGAGAGAGAGAGAGAGAGGGCGAGAGAGCGATGATATGAATCAAAGACGGAAACTCACACCGATGATCGGTGGGAAAAACGGGGGGATTCCCCTCCAAAAACAACATACCACCCACTGATTTGGTTTATATTTATTTCTAACAAAATTTAAAATATATATTTGTATTTTTCAATATATTGAACATTCGATTAAGCTTGATAAATCCACACGGCCGTCCAGCTCCCTTAAAAATGTCCAAACTCCGCGTCAAAGACCTGTCAAAACTCTTCGGCAGTCCAAAAATTTTACGTGCCATTCTGTCGCGAGTAGCGAGCTGGAAAATTTACAGCCCCCCCTTGAAATAGCCGAAACCCCGGCCCATCGTAAATCCATAAAATCCCGGAGGAAGGCCGATCCGTCAGATTACCAGTCAACAATTTGCCGGGTTTTGTGCAAAAGTCGAGTTTTTGCATGCCCTACAGTAATCGGGGCAACCAGAAAAATTCCGCTTGCTTCCAATTTGCGTTAGAATTTGTACGCTAACCATGAAAATGTTGGATTTTCGATAAATTTAAGCAAAAAATCCTGATAAAGAGCCGTTTTTCTGGTCCGGAAAAGGTCCGGAAAAACTGAAGTTCGAGAATTTGCTCGGAAAAGCCGATTTCGGTCATGTTGGTGCCATTATTTAGTCCACCGCTTACAGTACCCCTCCCGTATCTCTTATTTAAATTTTTTATTTCTATTTTTTAGATGCGCACCACTATACTGTACTTCTTCGCCTTGATCTCCATGTCTCTATCAATCCAATGTTTCCTCGACAGAAATAATCACACTTTCCGGCACACAAGTGATGTATGTACAGTAACCATTACTGTACCCCAAAAATACTACTGTATGCGATCACCGAAAATGCTATTTTTAGAAAACGACGGTGGATTGTTCTGGAAATTACTGTATGAAGATGGTGGTCGAGTATGACGGTGCGCAGGAGACCGACTGGGATTGTGGCGATAATATTTGCCCGGTGGGTTTTTTGGGTGCGTGACAGCGATTTCACGTTGGCTTAGGCCTAGGCTTAGCTGACTTCATTTGCTACAGACTTGCTTGCCTATTTAAAATCACAACTTTGCAAACTATCGTTCAAAAATTACCTCAAATTTTCTCTGAAAAGGCCCAAGTTGCTCATATTTGGCCTATTAGCAAAACGTAAACGTTTTTTGGTACTGGATATTGACTAATCAGGGGTCGAGACTGACGCTTCCCAGCCCCTTTAAAGTTTAAACGATAATTTTCAGGAGCAAGCCGGCAGCCACCAATACCACGGCCGCCCCGAGCACACCTACTGCTGTCAGGGCGCCAAGTGCAACACCGCCACCGCTTTCCAGCTGATCAGAATTATTTTCGGCATTTCGGCTTTTGTCATGTACCGCCTTTTGTAGCAATTTAAGCGGGTTCAATAAATTTAAATAAATCAACTATAATAATTTTGCTGTGATCTCTGTCCGCTCGTCCGTCTGTCTGAAGCCGAATTCAACTCGATGGGGAAAAGAGCTAGAGCTTGCTCTCTTCGGATTCGGATAGCGCGCCATCAGAAACCCCCAATCTGATAAAAAAATTATTAAAAAGTTTTAGTTTAAATTATTAAAATTGACTTTGAAAGATTTTTCCTTACATGTAGAGGTTGTCAGGTCACAAATTCCAAACCGGCTGAAAATTGGTGGAAAAATCGAATAAAATACGGGGAACACGATGCTATAAAAATTATCTGCTAATGGGCACTTTTGTTTAATAAACTTTTAATTTTAAGATTTTGTATGGAAAACCCACCTAGAATCCCAGCGAGCCTGGCCAGAACCGGGGCGCGCAGGCGCCAGCTCTTGAAGCCTTCCCAAGGGGCCCTGCCCGTCGGCCAGGTGGTGTAGGGGTAGGGTGCGGGGAATAGTAGGACAAAGGTCATGGGTTCGGTACCCGCATTTTTTATTTTTTTTTGCTTTTTGCCGTTTTTGCTTTTATTTTGTAGGGAGCGCGTCTAGAATAGTTTTTATAATGTTTTTCGGTCCTATTAATCAGTAGCGGACGTCTCGACAAAAAAATAAATTACAAACTTTTGGAAGTTTTTGCAAAAAAGGGCCTACCTACCTATTCCGACTCCATGAAAATCGACAGGATAGTTAATACAGATTACTTTTTGTACAGGTATTGTAAAGAGGCAGTGATTATCGGAATCTGGAATCTTTGGGCTCTGATTTTAAACACCTTGGGTCAGAACCAACTATTTTAAGCAGCTGCTAACCCACCTAGCGGCCAAAGCTATGCGATAGGTCGTCAAAATTTTCGTGCAAAAAAATTTTTTCAAATAATTTTTTTCCGGGTGTGGGAAGGTACCCAGTGTCGTACTTTCCGTGGCAATTCGATCGAAACATTTATTCCGAGGCCGACAGCCCGACCAATCCGCTGAAAGCCCATTTTACCTTCATTTTTCTTACTTAAAATGAAAAGTTTATTAAACAAAAGTGTCCATTAGCAGATAATTTTTATCGCATCGCGTTCCCCGTATTTTATTTGATTTTTCCACCAATTTTCAGCCGGTTTGGAGCTTGTGACCTGACAACCTCTACATGTTAGTAAAAGGGGGGACGGAGATTTGCATGATTTTGGACATAGTGAGCCAGGTCGCGCGCGTTTCGCGGATGAAAATTCAAGGTGTGGTGGGGTAGGATATGTAGGGTAGCCCAAAGGTAACCATCTGGTGAAAACACAGTTTAGCAAGATTCTGCAGCTTGCAGCGGAATTTGGAAAACCGGATTGGAAATGCCAACTCACCTTGTCAACAGCGTTCGATAGATACGTTGTAACGTCGTTTAGAGCCGAACCTCAAGATCATCTACTGGATTTCACAATACTCCGACTCCAATTTACACTCGTTGTTTCTCTACTCTCCAAAAACATTAAAACACCAAAACAGCTACAGTATTGCGTCCAGAATTTTTCTGGAAAATCCCGTCCGTCTAACAGCCCTGTTTCTACCCGTTGTAGCTACTATTTGCCCAGTTTCCCGATGCCGGGCCCCGACTTGGCCCTAAACTTTGGAGCACCGCGAACAAGTATTGGTCATGTTTTCGAAACAACGAACCATGCAGCGTGGATGCGTGCTGTTTGAACCTGATGGTGATGAGGCCCGGCCGGAGGTTGGGTATAAAATGGAGGGCCGGCGGGGTTCAATATCATTTTGGGGGCTTGTGCTTGAAGCATGTTGAAGCTGGTGGCTTTTATGGCTGGCGGTGGGTATCGTACAGTGTCGGAATACGGTATTTTTAGCCTTCCTTGCTGTGGAGGCCTGCACGGACAATTATTCGGAGTAAGTTTTTGACTTACAAGGGAAGTGCACGACCGGCCTACGAGAAATCGACACGAGACATAGTGGATCTGATAGAATCGGACACGGGGATTCCGAATCTGTAATCAGAATTTGCTAAATAAAACGGGGAAAAAAGTGATGAAGCTTCAAAGTTGGTAAAATCGCCCAAAATCGGACTTTTATGGGCCTGTAAAGGCCCAGGGAATGAAAATTTTCCAGAACCCATTAGTGCATCTTGTTCAGCAGAAAAAGCGCTTTCGAATGAGCTATTTTACTTCAAGTTTACGATGATTTCGCGAAAATCTTTTCTATGAACTTGACAGGCCATACCCTTGCCCGTGAATCCAAAAAAACTTTTTTCAGTGAATTGTTTGCAAATGCTACGTATTACAGCTCATTCGAAAGCGCTTTTTCTGCTGAACAAGATGCACTAATTCTTTTCTCCTCAATTCCGTTCCCCCGGTTTTTAGGAGCCCTTAAAGGTACCGTTTTTGGCGATTTTACCAACTTTGATGCTTCATAACTTTTTTCTCCGTCTTATTTAGCAAATTCTGACTACAGATTCGGAATCCCCGTGTCCGATTCTATCAGATCCACTATGTCTCGTGTCGATTTCTCGTGGGCCGGTCGTGCACTTCCCTTGTTAGCTCTTTCTGTCTCTCGGTCGCTCTATCTCTCTCCCCGCCCTCTCTCTCTCTCTCACTTGCTCTCGCCCTGTTTCTCGCAATCCGCGATTTTCTAGGTGCAGCAACTGGGCGTCCAACGGCTTCTGTACGAACACCTTCTACACCACGGCTGAGCGCGCTGAATATTGCCCATATTCATGTAATTTTAACGTCTAAAGCATGACAAGCTGAAAGCCAGAGAGAGAGACCGACAAACAGAGAAAGAGAGAGAAGCAGAGAGAGTGAGAGAGAATGGGAGAGAGAGAGACAGTGAGAGAGACAGAGAGAGAGAGAGAGAGAGCGAGACAGAGAGTAAATGTGAGAGTGAGAGAGACTGAGTGAGAAAAATAAAACGTAGAAACCATCCTACTGTCACCACCTGTTAAGATCACCGTTCCAGGCAACCTGTGCACCACCTCGGCCTATGGCACCACCTGCACCGACAATTCCAAGTAATGTCCGCATTTTCATACCGTAATCCATTACCAGTTGTGCCGCATGGGTGTCTAATGGATTTTGCACAAACACTGCCTATACCACTGCCCAGGTCAGTCAAGATTTGGTTTTTTAAGCTTTAAAAGCGGCAATTTTGAAAAGGGTTTTCTAGATTGAAGCCTACTGCGCGAACGCATGCGGCTTGTGCGGAGCCACCACGGGTAGGACTTACAAGGGAAGTGCACGACCGGCCTACGAGAAATCGACACGAGACATAGTGGATCTGATAGAATCGGACACGGGGATTCCGAATCTGTAATCAGAATTTGCTAAACGAAAAGGAGAATAAAGTTATGAAGCTTCAAAGTTGGCAAAATCGCCCAAAATCGGACTTTTATGGGCCTGTAAAGGCCGAGGGAATGAAAATTTTCCAGAACCCATTAGTGCATCTTGTTCAGCAGAAAAAGCGCTTTCGAATGAGCTATTTTACTTCAAGTTTACGATGATTTCGCGAAAATCTTTTCTATGAACTTGACAGGCCATACCCTTGCCCGTGAATCCAAAAAAACTTTTTTCAGTGAATTGTTTGCAAATGCTACGTATTACAGCTCATTCGAAAGCGCTTTTTCTGCTGAACAAGATGCACTAATTCTTTTCTCCTCAATTCCGTTCCACCGGTTTTTACGGGCCCTTAAAGGTACGGTTTTTGGCGATTTGGCCAACTTTGAAGCTTCATAACTTTTTTCTCCGTTTTATTTAGCAAATTCTGATTACAGATTCGGAATCCCCGTGTCCGATTCTATCAGATCGACTATGTCTCGTGTCGATTTCTCGTGGGCCGGTCGTGCCTTGTTAGACTTATCGTTAGGCCTATAGGTTTAGGCTTAGGCTGAAGTTAGATTTAGGCTTAGGCATGGGCTTAGGCTTAGTCTTAGTCATTAGACTTAGGCTTAACTCTTTCTTTCTGCTGAATTAGAAGCTCAAACCTCCTTTAGCCGCCTCAACCGCCACCTCAACGGCCAGCTCCAGCTCCACAGCCAGCTCGAGCTCAACGGCCAGCTCTTCGAGCACGGCTTCGAGCAGCAGCACTGCCTCCACCACAGCCGCCTAAAGGGAACCAATGGTTTCAACCTGCGATAAAGAAAATTCCATTCGAAGGATAGACTACAAAGTACAACACTACAGGCTAGAGTGTGGGCTCTCTCTCTTTCACTCTTTCGCTCTTTCTCCCTCCCTCCCTCCCTCTTTCTCCCCAGCTGTATTTCTCTATTTCTCTCTCTGTCTATCTATCTCTCGTTCTCTTTGTCGAACTCGCTCTCTGTCGGTCTCTCGCTCTCTCGTACGCTCTATTTCTATCGTCTCTTACCTCAAATCCTCCTTAATCGAGCAATTTCTCGATCTCATCTCCTCCTTACAAACACCACATTTGTATTGTCGAGAATCCAAGAGATATTTGTAGCGATAAATATATCCACCCATCCATTGTTGTCTTCTGTCCACTCTAAGAGAGAAGACGTCAGTAAAAAGGCCGAGAAGCGGGAGATGGCAAACGTGCAAAGGATCGCCGCGGATTATCGCTATTTCCCATATCGCTCTTTTGGCGAGACGGGCTGCTGGATTAGGGGTAGCCAGTTGCCGGGGGCTTCAATTGCCTTTTCGGTGATGTGGCGGGATTTTTGTATTTGTGGTAAACTGTATTTTACAGGGATCAGCAAATCCAGTGGATTGATGGAAATGGTATAATTTTGTAGTGAAGCCGATCTATTTTTTGCTTGAATTCGTATTGAATTAAAAAGCCAAGAAGATGCTCAACGGCTTGAAGGCGTTTGGGCCGATATGCCGTAGCTCGCGCTCTTGCACACAGTCGTGCTCGCTCATTCCAGTTCTCACTCTATTTTGGCCTCTCACGCGCTCGCTAAATCTCTCTTTATATCTGTCTCTTTCTATCGATATCTCTCCATATTTATCGCTTTCTCTG